CTGATTTAACAATTGCTTTAAATTTTGCAGTAAAAATGCAAGAAAAGTATAAACTTTTATAGGAAAATTTAAAAATGTCCTTGGGATTCCAAGCAGCAAACCTGACTTGCCTGTCCGTTTTCATTTGAATTTCTATTGAACTCATCCATAAAAATATAAACAATTTCATTTTTTCAGGAAATACTTTTCAAACTCACTATTAAAAAAGCACAATTTAATTTTTTTTTGGCTTCTGTAATGTCTCTTAGGTTTATAAACAAAAAATTATAAAAAAAGAATTTAAAAAGGTCCAGATAATGGCAATGATTATTACACTTTAACAATGACTTTCACAAATATTCTGATAGCATTCTACCATCAGAGACTTCCCAAAATTATTCACACACACACAAAACGTTTCGCATCTTCAACTGAAGCTTCTAAATTAAATATTAATTTATTATTTTCTCTTGATGACTTTCTCCTGACATTCCCATAACATATTTATAATATAATTCCTTTAATCTAAAACTGAATATGATACCTTCGTTTCAGCTGCGGGTTATACCTACATTCCATTGACATTGGTTAAGTTAAATTCTGAATCTTCTGCAATTTTTCCAAATAGTTAACATAGTATTGTAGGAAATACCCCTTACTCAATTCTAGACTGAATTATCAATTTATAAAATAACCAAAGGCACCTAGAATTACTCCCCCACCAAGTTCTCAAACAACTCAGACATCTCATAGACAATTTACCCTTATTAATTAAATTCTTTATATGAGCTTGGCGATTCAAATGGTGATTCAATAATTTTCTAAAACGTTTTGCTTGGTAATAAGGTTTTACACAAAAACAGACTATTTTTAAAGTAACCTTATTACCATTATGTTTATTTGATTTATCATATAATACTAAATTACATTTTTAAGGAGCTACTTCAAGCCCTCTACTAAACAAGTAGTGTGAATTGTTTGAGACTGAATTTCCAATTTCGCAACTTCATTCATATCATTATTGTCACTAGTATACACACTCACGTCATCTGCAAAATCATTGTTGCATTTTCTACTATATCTAATTTTCTAGTATAAATACTGAATAAAATAAAAGCCTTAAAATGCTTCCTTGAGCTAAACGTTTGGTAATTTTCTGTTCAATAACTTTGTTCCAGATTAAAAACTTCACTGCAACCAATAATAAAATTTTGAACAAAGTTTACAATACATTTTTGCTTTTTTAACTGCATCAAATCATCAATGGGATGACACTGGCACAAGCTTCTATAATGTCCAGAAATAATGTCGACACAGCCTCGTTTTTATAGAATCTAGGATGAATATCCATAGAAATAATATCCAAGTTATCGATAAGGAATTTCCTTAAGGAAAACCAAACTGGGAGTTCGCTTGTATTCTATTAACTTTCAAACACCATGGTAGTCTTCCTTTATTCATCTTCATGATTTTTGCATATAGGTTGCTAATGATATGAGTCTCATCTTATTAGACGTATTCTTTGGTATACATATTACTAAATAATTTTTCCATTCCAAATAATTATATTAAATGCAATATTGTATATATCTACAAAACCTCTCTTACAAAATTCAGGCAACTCAGTTATACCAAAATAATTTATTCTATCTAGTCCAGAAGCGGAAGTTAATATGGTATTGTCAACTGCAAATTCCAGCTCCTCAGCTGAAAAACGATTTTCCAAAACTGAATATTCCGCTTCACTAAGTCTATAAATCCTCAACTGTGATTCCATTGGGAGGACACAAATTTGTAATAATCTCACTATTATATTCAGCTCCCATTTTCTATTACCTCCACTTGATCTTGGTCTATTAATGCTACATTTAAACATTTTTATGAAATTCTAAGAGTCTACAATTTGGTTTTTCGTGCGGTGGTTTCACAATTTTTCTCAAAGTTTCTGCTTCCTCTTCACTTAATGATTTAATTGACAAAACTTCTGTTTTTTAAACATCAACAAAACTCTCCCCACTGAAATTAAATCTAACTGATTTCAAGGCAGCCTTGTACAATCCTACAGCTTTTTCAAATTTTTCATTCCACCAGAAACATTAAGCTTTGCCTTTGGGAAAGACATTTATTTGTACTCTGAGCAGAGATTGCGATCTATTGATGTATTCAATTTCCAGTAGTGATCCTCTGATTCATCAAAGATATTAAAAAAAATCGTATCTACTACTTACCCAAAGACTTATTCTCTAAACTATTGAAATAGTATCTTTTTAAAACCAATAAGTTTTTAAATATACTCCCGTACATTTTGTCAATTTTGTATTAAAATCAATTTTTTTTAAAATGTTGGATAGACATTAAACTGTATGGATACGGGAAAGTGATTTCTCCTTTCCCTAAAACAGATAAATTGCTTTTTAAAGCCAAATGATATGAAAGACAAACCTAAATTTCAATAAGAAATAGGCTATAAGTCATAAACTTAAAAGTCAGACACTTATTATCTAATAAATTGAACTTTTCAAAATCGAAATTATCTAAAATCAAATTATCAAAACAGCAACTTTTAGAACTTCATCATACATGACAAGAATCAAAATCTCCATCAATAATAAAATAATTTCAATGATATTGTTTAATTTCCATTTCCAAAGATAAAGGTGAAAAGATGATAGTGATGGTGTTCGAGATAGAAAGAGAGAGAGAGAGTATGTATGTGCATATTTAGTGTTTTTTCTTACAATATATTCTGTACCCTACTGATAATGAATAATCATTCTTGAAGCATTCATCTGAAGCCATTAGATGTAAGTGCAACAGAGGAGATTCTCCCCAATTTGCATGGAGTGAATTACAAATGGGAAAAAGAAGTATATTTGTCCTCTGCAATTTTATCAAAGTCAGAGTAGGTCATTTGAACAAAGTAATATTCTTTGTAAGAAGACTGGAATTTGTATCAACCTAAACTCAGAAGTTTGTTGTCCAAGAACATACCCCTGTGTACCAAAACAATTTATCAAAAAATTAATTTCACATTGGCTCATTTTAATAATGCTGAAGAACACTGCTGGAATAATGCGTTCTACTTATGAGTATGGCCTCCGAGCTCTTTGAGGACAGAGCTCTTTTTATACGATATATTCTTCTCAGTGCTGACGATTACACAAGAGCGAAGAAAGAAAAATATAATTCTGTTTTCACTGATGGCATTTCAAAGTTCAAAAGGGAGTCAACAAGAGCATATAAAGAGACAGCATTGTGAATAAAACAAATTGAAAGTCGTCAATTGGGTAGTGATGTGGAATCAATATTTCAAAGATTGTTAACTTACTCGCAAGTGCTAATGTAAATTTTTAAGATATAATAAGAATGTGAATTATTTGAATAATTAATTTTTTACATAAATTCCTTTATGTAAAAAATGTGATTTTTCATTGTTTACAATCCTTTTTGACCTCCTTTACCCAACATAAAGGCCTTTTTTGTACGCCTATTTTAATAAAAATAAAGGCCTTTATGCCTGCCTATTTTTCGTAAATTTTTACATAAACATCCACGCTATATGAATAAACTTTCTTATTCCAAAGGAAAATATCTAAAATAGAAATATAAAACATAAATTTTTCCTTTTATCATGAGGAATTCGTGGAAGTGCACAAAATGAAACCACAACCTGCCACAATGAACCAGCGCAGAACTTATGTACAAATATGAAACTATTCACACTTCATGGTTTACTAAATGGTGGAGTTCAAAAAATGGATGAGAAGAAAATATGAAAATCTGTTCAAATACTTCTTCCGAGTAGATAGGCAATTCTCAAACAATATATTGAGAAAATGATATAGGTATTTTCATTGAATTGTGTGTTTGTTCTCATAAAGAGCCAAGTTATAAAGCCCCCAAGCCACTTTTACGGAGAGGGGTCAAGTGTTTATTTGAGAGCTTGAGAGAGGCAATCTTTCAATTGAGTCCTTACCCCATAACATGGGTACTCTCTTATTTTTTTAACTTTTTCATTTACTGAAAGAAGTTGGGTAAAAAAATATATTCTTTAACTGTTGAAAATTGTTTTGCTACATTCCTTTAAAGAATATATGCAACGGTGAGCTCTCCTACAAGTAACATTGGACATAATAAAACTAATGATTCAGTCATTTCAAATGAACATGGATCACTGGTTGTGTTATTTCAATAGTTTCTTGTCCTTTAATATATTTTGAAACAAAAAAATATTTCTTCACTGTTCACAACACTCAAAACATTCATAAAGAGATGCTAGAAATACATAGTGGTAATTTGAAAAATTTATTATTAGTTTCAAAAATTAAAAACTGTTTTCCTGTCTGGTTCTCTGTAACCATCTCAAAAGTAGAAAAGTTACTTGTGCCCAAATCACTGAACAGAAATTCCAAGTTGTTTCAACTAAGGGTTATGTTAAAAAAAATATAGACACACAAACAACTTGTAACTACACACTACTCACTTCTCCTCACTCATATGCTGTTTCTATGGTTTATTATATCTTCCAAACACTTTATCTATTTTTTAAAAATGTTTCCATATGACAGTTTTGCTCTTTATAGCATTAAATTTAGAATTAAACAGAATAGTAAGGCTTCCACTGTTTGCTAAAAAGCAATTAACTTGATTTTTAATTTTTTAGCCAACACAAATACCCATAACTTGATTTCTAATTTTTTTACAATCCCCCTGTCTTTCTGTCTGAATGTTAAGTAATGAAAATCTTATATTGAAACATTTTACATTTAAATGCTTTCCCTTCTCCCCCTTCCAAAAATGAAGTTTGGCTACCACCCTTGAATTTAATTATAATTAATTGCTGGGAATAACTTACAATAAAGATGGGAAAAGTATTAACAAAGAATATTATGTTAATTATGTGTTCTACTCCAAAAAGGATTAAATTAATCAATTTTCACCAGAATCTTTTGAAGTTTATCCACATCCCAAACAAGAAGGCCTGAACAGAATCCTAGAAAACAAAAAGTAATTATACTTACATCTGTGATCTCTGATTCCCCATTTTCAGTTTCAACTTCTTCATTCAGTTCAAAAACCTGCACAAGAAATTGCAGAATGTCATAAATTTCAATATCAGAATTTCATGATCGTCTTCAATAGAAGGAATCATGAACTTGTGCCTCTTTGTTATTTTACCTCTATTTATCTTCTAACATATTTTTCTTTGCACAGGAAGAAATCACCCTGAATATCATGGAAAACATTTTTGTAACAATTCTTTTGAATGAGCAATATTTATTAAATGATAAAATAACTCATATTTTATATCGCCTCATTACATTAGAATATTTTTTATTAACAATGTATCACCTAAGTATTTGTGACGTCTTCCAAGTCTCTTGGTATTTTTGTTGCACATTCAATGACAATAAATTAAAATTTGTTCAATTAAAACATCTTTACGAATTGAGAAATTATTTACAACTTAATCTGAATGGTCACTCAAACATACTAAGTTCATATGGATATTTAATTACAAATATTTCAATTTACTAGACTGAATAGACAACATAAGTACCTTAGACTTGGACCAAGCTACAAATACTTGATTTACACGTTAATATAAAGTGTTGTAATGTAACAAGGTGATGTAAAATATGCGTTAGGTTTTTGTCTGTTAGTAAATATATCATTCAAAGTAATTGTTTCAAGAATTATATTAAATGTAGAATACACAACTTAATTATAAAAACATTTTTCCTTATGTTATTTAAAATCTGCTAGAAATTTATGAGTTTTAATATTTATTATAAAAGCAGCATTAGTTTAGCAGATAACTATAGCTCCGGAGAAGGTCCGGGGGGGGGGGGAGAGGCAGAGGCAGGTGGAGCATTTTAATGGAATATTTTGGAATGCAAAGCTGATTGTAAACAAGAAGGGTAAGGGCAACAAATCTGATCAAAGCCAGCAAACACATGCAAAAATCCAAGATATAGATACTGACCCAGTTATTTGACAGCGTGATTTCTGCAGTGAGTTTTTATTAGGAAATACAATAAATAAGTGGGTTTTTTTTACAAGCAATCATTCTGGATTTAAAAATTGCTTGTTTGTTTATTTTTAAATATGTGCAGGAGCCTACCACTTGTATCAGTGATTAGAAAATGAAAATAAGACATATTCCATAGTTCTGAGAAAAAAAAAAAAAAAAACTTCCACAAAAACATCCACAGTTAGCATCTGGGACATTTATGTTCTCCAGAAAAGGTGTAGAACTAGTCATTATTGATTGTTTGGCCTACCCTGTAACTTCAAATTTGCATGTCAGTAATAAACAGAACCGTTCTTATACCTTGGACTTATTTCCTTTATAAAATAATTATTATATATTTAAAAAAATATCTTTTTAATTTCTTTGTTTTTGGACTTACAAAACAATTCACTCATAAAATCAATCATGTGAATTAATATATTGTGCAATAAGGACATGAAAAATACTCTTACTAAATTAATAATATCAGCATCTACTCATTATTGACTTCCACTCGAGTCTTTGGCTAGGTCAAAACTTTCAGGTAGAAATCGAGATATTTTTTGAACATTCGTTATTTTATTTCCATTGATTGGAAGAACAGCTGAGGCATAAAGACATTCCTGAAAGGTAAATCTGGGCAAGCCCTCCCTTTTGCCACCATGAATGTGTACTTGATAAGCCCATTAGTATATGTACTCAATGATGTCCTCAATGTCTATTATTGTTATCATGAAGCATTTAGGCATTTCTTAGCTGATAATACTAGTTTTATGTGAGGATCAGAAACTAGTCCTGGACTTCTTTCTCTTTTCCAGACATTAAAATTTTTAATTGGTAATAGAACACATACTTTAAGCTTCACAAGTTTCATTTTTACACTAACCTATGGCTTGAATAACAACAACAACAACAAAGATAATGATTATCTTAACTCTTTTTACATATAAATAGGACTTATTTTTCTTTTAAAATCACTGGTTTAATTATGTTTGCTATTTCCTGAAAAAATGTTAAAAGTGATATCACATAAACAACATTACAAATTCAAGTGTTGTATGTTGCTCCTAATTACTGCATTGTATAAAAATGTGACTGACTATACTGAATGCATGAATGACTATACTTAAAGAGACTAACAGGGTAGGCTGTATTTCACATTCATCATGTTACTGGCATGAAAAAAGATCTATAAAGTTTAAAAAATGGATAATAGAATTTTACCATGAAGGAGTTTATTTTATAAAAGAAATATTACTTCTTCCCTGAGCTGTAACTGAAATTTTTTTGTGACAAAATCATTGCTTTATTGATAATAAGACATACTTCCTTTTGTACCGGTTTAAGAGTTAAACATTTAGTATAAAGTAGTTTTTGAAGGTGTATCGATTAATAAAATATGCAATTTTATAATAAAAAGATAATGTAGTAATAAACAAATAGATTCATACTTTTGATAACACATTTAAGGCATTACATACACAAAACAATAGCAAGATAAAAAAATAGTTCAGCCCTCAAACTTTCCACTATGGACCATCCCCTGTTCTATCTATGCATGCCCATTTTTAAAATAGATTTGCATTCCTCTAGAGGTGTCCCCCTCTTTTACCTTAAGGGGGGAGGGTACCATGAAATGGGTCAAATTAATGATTTTGGTTTGCTAAGTAACTAGTTCAAACCTTGCTCTTTCCAAATATACCAAATTTTTTCTTCTACGATGCCTGGAAGTCCCTTTAATTTTTATTTAAATGACCTAGTGCACATTAGCCACAGCCCCTTTTTTAACACTGCATACAATTAAACAGTGTGAGAGTTATTTTTCCATAGTTTCGAATGCATGTTGGATTGTTAACAAGTTAATGAAACATGCTCTTGATATGTTGGTAGCATGAGTCTTTTCCACTGAAGATGATACAGAATACAGAGCAGGCATGTTCTAGTAGAGCTTCGGCAAGCATACACTCTTTTCAAATCACGTTTCTCGCCAAAATGTACTTATTTTGTAATTAATGTACCGTTTCTCAGAAACTATTATTGAAATTTACACGATACATTATTTATAGTATTAGTAATAAAGTGACAGTTTTATATAAACATTCTTCTATAATAAAATATATAAAAAACGTTTGTTCAAAAATGTTGAAAAAATTAGGGTGAGTTACAATTGGAAAAAAAAAAAAAAGACTAATTATCTTTCAAACTACTCCAAAAAATGGTATAATAATAAGAAAGGTTTTATCTTTAAGTATGTGAAATATTAAAATTTTCTAGTTAACCATTTACAAGCAAAGATACATCAATTTTAACATGGAAGGTAAACATGGTACCCTCTCACTTTAAAGCTTTAAAATTAACAAATGTTAGCATTATTCTTTCCCACATACTCCTGGAATATTCCATCAGGCAATTACAGTTCAATAGAATTTTACAAGAAAAGTAAATGTATAAATTACGTTACATTATGCAACTGGTATATAATGCATTTCAGAATATGCAACTGAATACAAAGTTTAGCTTAAACGAACTTGCGTGTCCTTTAAAACAATGGTCATAGACAAGTACTAAAAGAACCACTAGTGACACAGAGGAAAATATTAGTATTTTGTAATAAATTTATTTTTTCACTTGATTAGTAATTAACAAATAATGTATTAGTGATACACACGTGAAAACTTTAAAAACCATATAACTACATTAAAATCTTCATATATTCCCATCAGAGTTTCATCTTGAAATCTCAATTTACTTTGAAAACTGCAAATCAGATTTCCAGAAGTTATCAGAAAAATTAGTGGCTAAGGAAGAGAAGTAAATAAAACAGTCCCACAGAATAAATATTAGTTACACAGAGCAACACATTTGCATTGTGAAACATTTGCTTAAATAAGATAGCAAACATTTCATATATTCCATTTTATAAATCTCAAATTCCATTTTTTCAATTAATTTCAAATTTGAAGTGCCCAATTATGATAGTTAAATATGCTTAAACCACTTTTCATACTATATCCTAAGTCAAAATAAAGAATTTTCCACTGAAAAAGTGGACCTTAATTACAACTGTTCCTTCTGGCAAGTTTAGTATTCACAAGATATCAGAACCATACAGAGTATCACACAATCTCTTGACAACAATAATACTATAAGGTAGCTACAAGATTAACTGGAAGGCCAACAACATTGAACACAATTAAGAATCAACAGTGAAACACAACAAAACACTGGCACCAGCATCTTTAGTGATGAATCTCCCCTTGAGCATGCACAACAAACAGTATTTCTACCAACTATGTACAAAGAAGATATCAAATGCCAACACTTGGTGATTTTATAATTACTGAACTCCATGCTAGAAAGAACAACAGAAATTTTATTACAAAAATATCAAAAATGCTGTGTTACCCATTAACGAATGGAAACATTTCTTTCAAATAAATAAATAAATACTAAAATTTACCAAAATACAAATTCTTGGATAACCAAAAGTTTTAAGAATTGTTTTTAAATAATTATGATAAGGGCTCGGATTCTGATGACCTAAAAATTCTTTAAAAATGACTAAAAAATTAGGGAAATTCCCAAATTTTTAACAAATATACTCAAAGCTTTGTTTGTAATTTTATATATTTGATGAATTTTATGATTTTAAATAAAATTAATTTATATAAAATTATATTTAATATTAAGTCTTTATTTTAGGAGGAAATGTTATCTTTAGCTCCAATTTTCCAACCGTCAGTTTTCAAAAGTCTAGAAAGTTACTGAAGATCCATGTTATTTTGAGAGTTTGAAAAACAGAGTTCAATACCGTAGTGAATTACATCATGAACTGATGATAGAATAAAAAACTTTGTTTTCATGTGTCTTTGTAAATTCATGAAACATTCACTAACAAAAAACACGGAAAGGAAACAAAATACATAAAAATTACAAAATTAAAACAAAGGTTAAAAAAGACCTAAAAATTAAAAAATGGCAGAAAATGACCCAACAGAAATACATTTATATCTCTTATATGTCATAATACACATTGATTCACAAGTTAGCTACGACTAGAATGCACCAATGAAAAGATGACAGACGCATCAAAATCCAAGCCCTCATTATGATCAACATAGTCCATAAAAATCTGAACCATTAAAACCATGAACATTTTACACAAAACCACAGTTGAAAAGGCAGAAAGAATTGAATAAGACATAAAATAATCAGTATATTTTGAAGTTTATCTTCAAATAAATTTCAGGGAAAGAACTTAAGAACATGTATATCATAGGTTATTATATATTATAGTTGATCATATTCTCCCTTAATGATCTGTTGAAATGTTTATTCTGGCTCTTTAGATACATCTTTTACATTCAGCTACTAGCACCGTGTACATGATAGAACCTATAATCACCATTTCAAAAAAACTATTAATACAAAGAAGATAACAAATGATTTCCACTGACCAAAATATGAAAGGCAAGAATAACAATGGGAAT